GTGGCAGCTTTCTCTAGCCCTCAGCCTGCTAAAAGAAATGAGATCTCACGATTCCAGATCCTGTTGATTACTGGTCTTTTGACTACACATTAGAGGATAATGCTCAGAAAATACACCTAGCACCCAGCTCTGGAAAAAGGTTTCTAGGACAGGAATAGCAAATCCTTAGAAACTCCAGTACTGGAAGTGGGAATGAGGGTATTCACCAAAGGACAGATTTTAATGGATGTGAATGTTGTGCTTTGTCTTCTAAGCCCCTCAGAAAGTGCCATAATAGAAGGAAAAGATTCCTGCTTCTGTTTGAGCTGGAGCAACACAAATGTGTCAAGTCTCCTACAACCCTCTGAGATCATCATCCCGTTCAGGAAGTGCTGAATTTTAAAAACAAGTGCTTTATTTATAGGAGCCTCAGCTTAATTTTTATTCCAGTATATCAGCACTGCAAGGTACTCCAGAGGAAGCACCTTGATTTGCTCTAATCTTATTCACACAGAACAAAAATTCCTGGAAAATGCTTTTTTGGCAGCTGGAAGAACCCTGTCCATTTCTGCACCCAGAGACACTGAAAAAGGTGAGTGTGGTAATGTCCCAGCTGGAAGGGTAGAGTATTTCTGTGGGAACAACCTTTGAGGGACATGGAAGGTCTCATCAGGTGTATTGTGCAATCTGAGTGGAGATTTGTGGTAAAGCCCATGGCCACAGTGCTGAGGGGAAGGAACTCTGAAAACCTGCTGGTTCTTGTCATCAGCTGCTCTAAACTTCAAGCCTGAATTACACCTTGCTGTTGAAATGACAGCATTGAGGGCCAGCTAAATCCAACAACAGTTTTCTGCTTTCCCTTTTACAACTATGGCTTTTATTTTTTTTTCCCCTTAAAAATTATCTGTTGTAAAAAGAACGGCTGAAACTTTGTAATCTTTGTCTGTCCCCTCATGTGTGGTAAAAGCCAATACTAGTAAACATTTGATCATAAAATAGTTTTTGAAGTCTCTTTTGGTTATCACACCCTTAGGAGGTGTTCTCTGATAGCTTTATTTTCCAAACTGACTCCAAACTCCAGCCTCCCAGAGGCTCAGTGAGCTGGAGCTCAGTGCCTAGGGCTGGCACAGGGAGCTCTCCCAAAGGCACAGCTGGAGCAAGTGTGATAACTGCAATGACACAGCAAGGCACATTGTGGACCATGGAATAACATCCTATTGCAGAGTTGAAATATCTGCTGAAGAGCCACAGCTTCTTTCAGCCATGAAGATTGTTTCAGCTTGATGTGATAAAGACTTATTTAAAAGCCTTTTCATCCTAGCTGGGTATCCTTTGAGGAGGTTTTTCTTTCTGTAGTAAAAAAGGGTTTTAAATGTCTTGGAATCTTTGCTTCTGTGTTTTGTCTTGTAAAGAAAGGCTGGGCATAAATAATTGTGTAGTTAACTTTGTCCCTGTTAGTATATTTAAGAACATAAAACCTAGTATGCAGGTGGAGAACAGTTGCATATTCAACTCTACATTCCCCTTTAGAAACAAACAGCTCATTTTTGTTTAAAATTAGTGTGTGCAGGTGTGGAGAGCAGTGACCCAGCCCTGTGAGCATGACAGCTGTGAGCATGGAATCACAGACTGCTTTGGGTTCAAAGGGACCTTAGAGCTCATCTCATTCCATGCCCTGCCATGGCCAGGGCCACCTTCCAACCTATCCCTGGTTGCTCCAAGCCCTGTCCAGCCTGGCCTTGGGCTTCTGTCTTGCTGAGGCTTTACTCTGCTCCTTGACTTCTGGAAACCCAGGATAACCCCTCTAAATCTCCCCACTGCATCAAGCTGCTCTGTATTTAAGAATATTTTAGCCCTGCAAACACAAAGCCATGGACAACTTTGCACACATAAAGCTGGTCTGACAGATATGTTAGCAACGTACAAACTTAATGCATTTCCCACCAAGTGGTTTGTCTGTTCAATATTTATCTCCCTCTGTACCATGCTGGGTATTTAAGATCGAAATTGTCTTAAACAAAAATTGCCATTTCAAAGGTAGGACCTCGATTTTTCCCTGCCAGCGCAAAGTATGTTGGTTATTTTTAATAGTCCAGCTAATCTCATGATTTTGGAGCTCTGATATTTGCGTGGTTTCAAAGCAACACCTCCTGGCAAGCCGTGGTATTGCTGGTGCAGGGAGAGACGTTCCTTGTGGGACAATACATGACAAACCAGGAGTGCTGTGGAGTGACAGAATCACATGGTTTGAGCCGGAAGGGACCTTAAATCTCAACTCATTCCAACCTCCTGCCGTGGACAGGGACACCTTCCATTATCCCAGTCTGCTCCATGCCCCATCCAGTCTAGCCTTGGATATTTCCAGGGATGGAGCAGCCACAACTTCTCTGAAAAACTGTTCCCAGACTAGCAGTGACCTCCAGCAAAAACCTTTCCTTGCTTAGCGTGCAAATTAGGGTGTGATGGATATGGCTGTTCCAACTTCCACTGGGGGAGAAATAAAATGTGGGAGCATGGTCCAGAATTCTTTAAACAAGAGCACACATAAGCACTTAGTGCTGCCTGACAGGTATTGCTGTGCTTTTTGTGTGTGTGTTTATATCACAGGTGCTCGTTTACAATGGACAATATCACTACCAGCTGTGCAGGTTTTTATCCATAAAAGAGCAAAACCAGCAAAGGATGCTTGCTGTCATGCCTATAAATGGTGAATGGATGTTAGTGCTCATCTTTGCCCTCTTCATTTGCTCTCTTTCCCCTGTCCTACTATAAAACTGACTATAGAAGCAGAAAACAGAAGCATGAAGGGAAATTTGGAGCAGCTTCAGAAAAATTCCTTAGTGCTCCAAGGATCCCATTCTCTGAGAGCTAAATCAATGTGAGTGTCCTTAGGAGCAAACAAGAATACTACAGACCAGCACAGGACAAAGAACAAGGTGACAGAGTCCTCACTCACAGCATTACACGTGGTTCAAGGTGCTGTGCTGCACTGGCATCCTGTGGAACAATCTTACAGCCTGGGACAATGCAAGGACTGAAAAACAGCAGGGGATGGCTGCAGAAGGCTGAGATTGACATAAATAGTTCATATGCTCATAATAAAACCTACACAAGTGGCTGTAGAGGGATATTTCTTGAAGGAGATGGTAACATTGTCAATGAAGGTGACAGAAAGATAGATATAATCAATATGTTTTTGTTCTCCATTGCAGATTCTTTGATGTAACACTAAAGAAACTCTTTTGTGTCCAGCTTGACATCTTAGTATCTAGTTTGGCCACGCAACGCTGTAACCTGGCGTTGAGAGAACTGGCAGGTAATATTAGAATATTAGAAAATAGGCTGCTGTCACCACGTACTTGCAAACAGGGTAAACTGCAGATACCAAGCTGTGATTTGGCCGCCCTTATTTCACTCAGCCACGATTCCGGTGCTCGTCTGTCCGTGCCGGCCCACGGAGGTGATGCTGTCCCAGTTCTCGGCAGCCCTGCCTGGGCCAGCAGGGATTCCTGCACTCATCTCTCCCGGCCCAGGGCTCGTCGGGAACACCTCAGGACAGCCCGAGGTGCCCGCCTCAACCAGCCCCTCACGGGCACGGCCCGAGGTGTGCGGCTGTGGTCATTCTCGGCCCCTCACAGGCACGGCCCGAGGTGCCCGCCTCAACCAGCCCCTCATAGGCACGGCCCGAGGTGTACGGGTCCGGCCATTCTCGGCCCCTCACGGGCACGGCCCGAGGTGTGCGGGTCCGGCCATTCTCGGCCCCTCACGGGCACGGCCCGAGGTGTGCGGGTCCGGCCATTCTCGGCCCTCACGGCCCGTGGCCGCCTCACGTGTTCCCGCCCAAAACCCGCCCGCGCACCCCCCCCAGGCCGCGCCCACACAGCAGACCACGCCCACACATCAGACCACGCCCACATACACAGGCACCCCCTCAGACCCCGCCCGCTCCCCACAGACGCCCCGCCCATACCCCGAGACCCCGCCCACACCCCCGTGACCCCCTCGCTCTCTATCAGGCCCCACCCACATTAGTTAAAATCCGCCCGCGCCCCTCAGACCCCGCCCGCGCTCCTCCAGCTCCGCCCATCCATCTCAGGCCACGCCCCTGCCCTCAGGCCCCGCCTCCCCTTTAAAAGCCCTCCCGCAGCTGGCGCGCGCCCGGAGGTGACGTCGCGGGTCGGGCGCGGGGCGGAGCGGCGGGGCCGGCTGGGGACACGGAGCTGGGGGAGCGGAGCGCACCGGTGACGGGGAGCTCGGAGTACGGGGTGAGCAGGGAACGGGGAGCTCGGGGGCACAGGGTGTGCAGCGGACGAGGGGCTCAGTGATGCGGGGTGTGCACGGAACGGGGAGCTCGGGGCTCAGGGAGCGCAGGGTCCGAGTGACAAAGTGCTGCGGGAATGATGTGCCGCAGGAACGCGGTGCTCGGGGGTACGGGGCGCTCAGAGAACGCGGGGTGCAGGTAACGGGATGCTCAGGGAATGGGGTGCTGAGGAACACGGGATGCTCGGGGAATGCAGTGCCCGGCTGTCGGGGTGCTCAGGGAACGCCGCGCTCGTTTGCGGGCGCGGAGCTCTCACGCTTGTATATTTTATATTAAAAAGGGACTTTCTGCAGTTGAGGAGCGGTGGGCGGTGCTGCCGTGGCCCCGGCTGGGGTGCCTGCTGTGAGGCAGGTGAGCAGTCCCTGTCGCCGCTGCTCTCCGGCAGCAGGAAGCGTTTCAGTCTCCAATAACCTGGAGCAAATCCCGCCGGAGCTGAGCTCTGCTGTCCGTCCTAATCCCGGCTGGGGGCTGCTGGTAACAACAAAGACCAGCGCACGCTCCAGTGGTTTTGTGCCCTCTCCAGTAAAAAAAAAAAAGAGAAGTGTAGGGATTTAGATGTTCTCTCACCTGGCAGAAGTTTGGGAGAGTGGATGGGATAAGTTTAGTGGGATGTGTGGCTTAGCCCAGAGAAATGCAGCTCTTAAGACGGCAGGAGCTGTGGTGCCAGGACAAGGGGAATGGCTTCCCACTGCCAGAGGGCAGGGATGGATGGGATATTGGGAAGGGATTCATCCCTGGTGAGGATGGTGAGGCCCTGGCACAGGGTGCGCAGAGCAGTTGTGGCTGTCCCATCCCTGGCAGTGTCCAAGGCCAGGTTGAACAGGGCTTGGAGCAGCCTGGGATAATGGAAAGTGTCCCTGCCCATGGCATGGGATGGAATGGGGTGAACTTCAGAATCCCTTTCATTCCAAACCATTCCTCTTTTCTGCTTGTAGGGAAGGACACTTCCCCAGGCACAATTTCATACTGTGCCTCATTTTTGCTAAATGACGATTTGGTGTAAGTGACACCTGCAGGGGTAGTGCAATGAAAATAAAACCTTTAGATAACCTGCCTTCTCTCTCATTTAAGCTCTGTGGGAATTTTGCTGCTGGAAAGTGCTGAGACCTTGCTGTGACTTCACTTGCAGTTGTTCTTTTAACCTGTAGTTTTACTGCTTCAGAGGTAGGCTCTGAATATACTGATCTCATTCTCAAAGCAGAGCAGAAAAATCAAGGTAAATACTTTCTACATTCACTCCGAGATGAGTGGAGTCGTGATATTGCTCCAAGGAGGCAACTGAGTGTGAAAACTTGCAATTTTTGTGCTAACTGTATGGATCTGGAACCCGAAATTTCAGGAATGGGTTTGATATTACATTACTGCTGGAAAGGGGAGCCCTGTGCACCTCCTTTCCATCCCTCTGCTTGTCTCTTTTCCTTGCTCCTCAAACGCAGGTGTAAGTGGTGCTGTGGTGGGCTGGATTCACGTGCCAAACCCACCTGCAATTAGCACCATCTGAAAATTGAATCCATGGAGCTGTGTGTCTGTGCCTGTGCACCCAGCAGGGAGAGGCAGTGGCAGGGATCAAAATCAGTTAAGCTGCTCCTGAAAGTGTTCCCTGAGGCTACACTTTGCTGGACAGTCCTGCTGTTTGTGGTTTGGCTTTTTGGTGGTGTTTGCTGTTTTGTTTTGGATTTTTTTTTTATGAAAGCTGCACACTACTCCTTATTTCCAGATGTTCATAATATCCTCAGCCTCTTCTTTCCACTCTTTCCCAGCAGAAATGTTTTTGTTTCCTGAAAAAAATTCCTTATGGGTGCTGACCAAATGGAAGAGTTAGAAATACAGAACTGGGGCATTTTTAGAACGTGGTGATTTTCACCCATAACTCCACAGGAATCATTGCTACAACAGGTGTTCTTGTTTATAGAACAAAACCAGTTTTTGCTAAATGTAAAGATGGGAGTGCTAACAACAAATAAAGAAATCACAGAGAACAGGTGGATAAAAAATTGCAACAGATGTAGGAAAGAAGGAATTACTCTCAGTTGCTCTCTTTTGGCCTGAATTGTATTTTAACAGCTGTTTCTTGCAGCAGAAGGCTCTCCATCCAAAAAGATAAACGGTGAGACTATTGGCAAAAACTTACATCAGGTGCATGCAGAGAATTTTTTTTTAAATATAAACAGTGTTTTCTTACCCTCACTACAACTAGGAACAATTAACCTGGAAAAAACCACTTTTGTTTATTGTGTTATTTTAAGGTCTGTGTTAGTACAGCAGTTTATACTTAGTGGTAATTAAGTGGAGAATAAATGCTTCTTGTAATGTGCAAGACTTTTGTATAAGCCTTTGTGACATAGATTAATGGCTTAATTGCAATGTTAAAATACTGCTTCTGGGACAAATGCTGAATTTCCAGACCTTGGTGTGGTTTGGTTTTATGTGCTTTTTGCCATGTGGCTCTTGCCCCTGCCCTGAAGCTGCTGTGCAGTGTTCACATCCCATTGTTTAGATCTCCTTTCCTAGAAGCGTTTTTCTTTAGTTGCCTTATTAAAATCATGCTGGCCCTAACTGCTGTCCCTGTACAACTTTTCTTCACAAGTTCTCATGAAGGAGATAACTTGCCTGTTACTATTTTTTTGTTAGAAATGGCAGCATAAGCTTTAATAAATGGCTATATCCAATATTCCAGGTGGGTCTCAGCAGTGCAGAGCTCAAGTTAAATATTGACTTGTGTAGGGACTTTGGTCTTGGTAATCCCTGCTGAAGCTGCAGCCAGGAAAAAGGTGGTGTGGCAAAGATAATCACTTTAAACCACCCCCTGCCAAACCGAAGCCAGTCTGGCCGTGGGGAATGGTCCAGAGGAGGCTCAGAAACTCCCATAGTGTCCCCATGTCCAGGCTGGGAGTCTGCATGATGTGAGGAGACAACCACGTCTGTAGCTGGTGGTGGTGACAGCCCCAGTCTGCCTATCTGTAGGGAAATGAGTGGAATTTGGGGTCTCCTTGGTGGTGCCACGTCTGGTGGTCTGTTCTAATCTTGCTCTTATTTGTATTTAACCATCCCTGGAACTGGAGGGAATTGTGTGTGCCAGGAGCCCAGCTGGTAGGAGGTCTCTGCTCTGGGACCATGGCTCCTACTACAGAAGGCTCTTTGTGCTTTATAGACACGTGATCCCTAGAAAAAATAAACATTTCTCATTCTTGCAGAGATTTGCTCTCAGATATGAACTAAGCAATAACTGTTTCAGCACTTTCAGCCTGCTCCATCAGTCTTTCCTTGTGTTGGGGGCTTTTTTTACAAAAGTCTGAAATCTGCTTACTAAACTTGATTGGAAATAGAATTCCTGTGGGACTGACATGATAAATTTTGTTCTTGGTGGCATGTATTGTTGTTGACTGCTTTGCTCTAGGGAGCTCAGCAAGCAACATAGAGCTGTATATTAAATTTTTTTTTCTTTCGCTAAGAGGCTTTATAAGAGGTGGGAGGCATCTTGAACTTTATTTGCTTGTGGGGAACAGGAATTTCAAACTAATCAGAAGGCTTTAGCAAAAAAAGAACATCCAGTCATCTGTGGTGCTTTAGGTAAAAGAATTTTGCCATCCTTTAATAGTAAAATATTTTGAGCTGTTTATACCTGAGGGAATAAGTTATTTTATATCTGTGGTAAGTCTGTTTTCTGTCAGAATCTGATTCTAGGAAGAATTTTCTCCTGTGCTATTGGAAGAAGGTTGGGTATGTCACGTGTCAACTTTGTTTAGTTATAAACTGAGGTTTTGATGGAAGAAATGTTTTGTTTTAGAGCAGGATTGGGTTGGTGACTGCTGCTTTTTAACTTTATATTTTTGAAACCATTTCCTTAAGTGTGATGGGTGTGAACTGAAGAACCTGTAGAGTAAAAAGTGGCTCGAGTTTTTGGCATTCCTGTCGACTTTGTGCACCTAGTGAATGCAGCGTAGCGGCGTGACTCACTGTCAGGTGTGTGTCACGGATGTGTGGCTGTCTGGAGTGGCTGAGGTCAAGGTTTAGGCTGAGCTCCAGATGGTGGCCAGAGGATTACTTTGAGAGCTAATTACAAGGCTTCTTTGTGTAAGTCTGAATAGTTACATCACAAAGATATTCTTTAATGATTCATCAGGCCGTTTAGTGGGGGAAACAGCCCACAAATTTTTGACTTTCTGATGAGGCGTGTTTTGCCCTTAGCCTGGCTTGTGTTGAGCTGTACCCCAGCACTTGCAGGCTGTTTGAATGGGCATTGACTTCCTGCTCTGCCGATGGGATCTCTGGCATCTCTGAGCTCTGGATGTCTCTTTTTCTCTGCATGTGTGGCCTACATTTCTCCTCGCATGCACTCCGCAGCGGGCGAGCTGCTGTGGTGTGGGCTGTGAACAAAGGGCTCTGCCCAGGGTTTATTGAGCCGTGGACTCTCTTGAGTGAGCAAATGCTATTTTTGGAGTTCCCTCGGGGGAAGGTGGTCAGGAATCCAGCCTTGGAGCATAGCAGAGGCGAGTGCAGCAGTGTCAGCGTTGGTCTCCATGCTGGGTCAGCTGCTGGTGGTTCTGTCAGAGAGGATCCTGTCTCCTGCAGGAGGGTGTTAGCCAGGTCACCGGACAGCAAAGTGCTGAGAAAACATTCATCTTACTCCATTGGTTTGTTGATGTTGCCAGGAAACACCTTGTCCACATTTTGGAGATTTGTTTTGATTGCTCCTATCTTAGCTCAACAGTTTTGCCCTACAACTCATGGGTAAAGGGCATTGTCCCCAGCATCCACATCTCTGGATCAGTGTGCCAGCCTGTCTTGTGAGGTTGCACTGTCACTCTCATAGCTGGTGCCACTACAGTTGTGACCTTTGGTTGGTGGCAGGATGGCTCAGTGCTAAGGGGGATGAAATTTCCTTGCAATGTTATCCTTCCCTGTGTCTGGGCTGCTCAGGTATCCCTCAGAGAGGAGTTTCCCACTGATGCTGTGTACCCGGTGCTGCTGCTGGCTTCAGGTCAGCCTGACATCTCCATGTTAGTGGAGGGAGCAGAGTGCTGGGCTTTCATGCTTGTGGTGCAGGGGGCAGATGAATGACTGAGTTTTCATAGAATCATTTGTTTCCTATCTGTTTTCCTTACAACCTGAACGCTAAAGTTCACCATGTTGCTTGGCAGCATTGGGACACCACTTTGGAAATAAGAATGTTTAGCATGTACTTTAGCTGTAGGGTTGCTAGGAAGGTTCCTGTGTCCCTGGGCACAGGTCAGCGTGTCAGATACCTGACACAGAGCACTGTGACCTCCCTGGTTCCCTTAAAACAGAGCTCTCCTTTAGTGGGTTATTTACGTTCTTCACCTTCAGTATCCAGAAGTTTCAGTGTGCTTGTCAGTACTGGGAGGAAATACTGGTGCTGCATAACTGATTTCGTGTGTTCTTGTGGGTAGAGGCTCCTCTAGGAGCCTCTGGTGAGCAGAACAAGGGTTCTGGCTGTAGGCTACAAGTATTATTTTTGTGTTCAGTCATCCATGGCATGTTCCTGCAGGCAGGAGCTCTCTGGGCAGAGATAATCCAAACTGTTGATGTGCTCTGTGTAGTGCAGTCGAGTTGAGGAGCTCTGTGGACTGACCAAAGGGGTACTTGACAGAGCACATCCCTGTATAGAAGCCTCCTGGTGCTCAGAGCCTTAGGGAATGTTTGCACAGTCATTTTTTGCCGTGGCTACAGCCACAAGGTACTGTCTGCAACAGTCATTATGATGTCTCTTAAAAGGTAAAAGGATTTGTATGGGTTTTCCTTTGCTTTGTCAGGGAATAGCTGACCTTGGGGCCAG